ACTCCTCAGGAGGCCGGAAACCCTGGAGGTTCCCTGGCAAGGCTGAGGCCCAGGGGCTCCCATAGGTTCCTAGTCATGAGACATTAGTCAAGAAGACAAAGCAGCCTTGTCTTCAGGGCCCAGCCCATCTCAGCCCAGTCCAACCCGCAGGCCCCGCCCGCTCCTCAGGGGGTCTAAAGCCCAGGCTAGGCGCCCTCACCTCCCGCTTAACCACCATCCCCCCCATCCCAGCCACACACATACAAACAGGATCTGCCCCTTGCAGTAACTCCAGGTAACAACCTGCCCCCATCCCACCCTCGCCCCTGCACAGAGGATCCACCCCGCTCCATCTCCTCTCCGCAGCAGAGTGCCTCTTCCTGCCGCGGGCACAGGGCCCCTGCCCCCACTCCAGGACGCCGAGCCTGAGCCACGCGCGTGTGCAGGGAGGGCAGCCGCCCAAGCAGGGTCGAGGCCATGGACCAGGCGGGGACAGTGACCCGCAGGGCGCGGACGCAGTAGCCGTGGTAACGCACGTGGGCGCGTCCCGATTGCAGTCGGCCCGGGGACCACTTGGCACTTAACAGTGTGGAGCGCTTCACGCCCCGAATCTCATTGGAGCCTTTGCCACACAGCCCTGCCCAGGGCCACCGATGCCCCGGTTTCGCTCACGAAGCAGAGACCGAGACTCAGAATAGCAAGCGTCGAGCCCTGACGAAGGTCGCCGGAGGAGCCGGGCACAGCGTCGGGACGAGAACTCGACCCTCGCCGCGGGCGGCTCGCGAGCTCCTCCCCCGACTCGCCCTCCCCTAAGCCGCCCCCGGCTTTGCTTGCCGCCACGCGCCTCCCGGCGACTGCAGAGACGCAGCTCCCTCCCTGCTCGCGCGTGCTTCGGCTCTTGAGGACGCGGGGTCCTGGCTCCCCCGCTGGCCGCGCCGCTGCGGGTAAGCTGCGGGGTGCCTCCCCACCCTGCGACCACGCGCGCCGAGCGCCCCCGGGTGACCCTGGGCGGGGCTGGGGCTTGCTCCTGCCTTCCGGCCAGGCTGAGCCTGGGAGGGGAGAGCATGGGAAGAGATGGAGGGACCTCCCCCACCCCACTCCCCAGCTGCCTTCTCACCCCCTCGGTTCTGGGCGGGGTGGGGGCTCCAGCTGCTGAAGGTTCCTGGACAGCCCCCTCCCACGTCGCGCAAACTTAATGGAACGGACGGGAACTGGGGTGGCAGGTGGGGATAGAGGGGTTTGGCCCCGGGGAGTGGGGCCGACCAGTGGGCACTGTGGAGTGGGCAGTGAAAGCTGGGTTCGGCTAGGTCCCGGGGCATGGGCAAAGCGGATCGCAGGGAGCTGCTGTTGGGGACGGCAGTGGGGACCGGAACCGGCTCCACCAGTCCCCAACCTCGGCTTGGAGGGAAATTCTTTGCCGGTGAGTCGCGTTCCTAGGGCGTGTCAGGCAGGACTGGGCAGACAGGACTGGAAGGTGGAAGGTGCGGACCAAGGAGGGACAGCCCGCAGGTGGGCTGGCCTGGGATGGCTCAGGTGGTAACACCTGTCTGGGCCCCTCTCCTCCCCGGGCTGGCAGACGGGGTTCCAACCTCCACTGCAGTCTTCTTGAACTCCCACCAGGTGAGTGGCAGGCTGCGGAGGGAATGATCTTTTATGATCCTTACATCAGCTCAAGAAAGGAGGAATTATTTTCTCCCTTTGGAGATAAGGCAAGAAAGTCAAAGAGATTACCTGGGAAGTCACCCAAGGAGAACGGGTAGGGCTGAGGCTTGAATCCAGATGTGGCTCCAGGCTCCATGTACAACCCACTGCCCCTCCCCAAAGGTCTGGGAAGGAACTGGGGAGGGGGCCGGAGAATGACACTTTCATACGCTGTTTTATTGCATGCTACTGCCAGTGTATGTACAATAATTGCCCTTGTGAAACAAATTCATGAAAATTCAGAGAGGTAGAAGATTAAACAAACACTTTAATTCCTAATTCCCTGGGTCAGCAAGATCCCCTGGAGAAGGAAATGGCAACCCACTCCAGTATTCTTGTCTGGAAAACCCCATGGTTGGAGGAGCCTGATAGGTTACAGTCCGTGGGGTCACAAAGAGTCGGACACAACTAAGTGACTTCACTTTTTCACTTTAATTCCTAATGGTAATTAAATTCTAGGAAGAAAATAAAGGGGACAGGAGAAGAGGACTGAGAGGGCAGGGCCTCCAGGTATCTAGGGAAGCCTCTGATTAGAAGATGTTTTAGCAGAGGCCTCAGCGATGACTAGGGCCCAGTCATGCAAGGTTCTGGAGGAAGAGCACTCCAGGCAACAGGGATAATTACAAAGCCCCAGAGGCACTCATTAGAGTGTAGGAGAGTAGGGTGAGAATGTAGAATCCGGAGTTTCACTCTAAGAGTAATGAGAAGCTAGCAGAAACTTGTTATTGTTGTTGTTATTGCTTTTTTGCTTTGCTGGGTCTTTGTTGCTGCGCAGGCTTTTCTTTAACTGTGGCAAGCGAGGGGCTACTCTTGTTGCGTGCGCAGTCTCCTCATCGTGGTAGCTCCTCTTGTTGCAGAGCACAGGCTCTAGGACTCTCAGGCTTCAATAATTATGGCTCTAGGGCTCAGTAGTTGAGTTTCGCAGGCTCCAGAGCACAGGCTCAGTAGTCGTGGCACACGGGCTTAGTTGCTCCGCGGGCATGTGCGATCTTCCTGGACCAGGGATCAAACCCATGTCCCCTGCATTGATTGGCAGGTGGCTTCTTTACCACTGCGCCACCAGGGAAGCCCTAGTAGAAAGTTTTAAACAAGGGAGTGACATGATTCAACTTAATGAGCTCCAGGGGCCCAGGAGCAGACACTTAGGCCAGCCAAGTGAGTGAAAGTGCCTCAGCCGTGTCCGACTCTTTGCAACCCCATGGACTATACAGTCAGTGGAATTCTCTAGGCCAGAATACTGGAGTGGGTAGACTTTCCCTTCTCCAGGGGATCTTCCCAACCCAGGGATCAAACCCAGGTCTCCCGCACTGCAGGCGGATTCTTTACCAGCTGAACCACCAGGGAAGCCCAAGAAGCCTTCTAGGCCAGCCAAGAGGCTGAGGCAATAATACCAGCAAGGGTGACGGCGCTGGGAGCAGGGCCGTGGAGGGGTGAGAGGCAGCGATACAGGGATGGTCCTGCAGTCACTGTGCACGCTCAGACGCAGCTACAGGAGCTCACAGCCCCACATGTACACATGGAGAGGCGTGCGCTCCTACACCCTCTAGGCAGATACTAGGTGCACTCAGGCAGACCCACCTGTCCACACCCTCTGAGTCACTCCAGGACTGGTAGGAAAATGTGTGATCTGGGGACTTAAACAAAGCATGGCTCCCCACCACAAAGCCCTGGCATCCCACATGGCTGGGGTGGCTGGGGCTCCCTCAGGCTCCAGCACAGCTTGCAGCGGGTGTCCCTAGATATTCCCTGGAACTGATGTCCCCAGGAACCAGACCATTACCCTCTTCACACATCCCCCCAGCATGAATTGGTCTCCCGACTTCAAAACCCACTGGCTGTGAGACCTTAGGGAGGTTGATTTCCCCTTTCTGAGCCCCAGTTTCCTCTCTGAAGAATGGGCTTCATGACCCCAGTTCACAGGAAGGTAGTGAGGCATCAACAAGGTCAGTTCTGAGAACCTGGTCTGGGGTAGATATCCATTGGAGAAGGGGAGAGAAGGTGGTAGAGAGCCCAGCTCTGAATTCAGTTCTAGTTTTAAATGAGTGACTTGACCACTCTAGATTTCACATCACAATGAGTAGCCAGCATTTACTGAGCACTTACTGTGTACCAAGTGCTTTGCAATCATTTTCTCATTTGATTATCAGTTTCTTCATCTGTCAATGAGAAGCATAACAGTGCCTACCTCACAGGGTCATTATAAGGATTAAATGAGTTCCCTGGTGGCTCAGATGGTAAAGCATCTGCCTGCAGTGCAAGAGACCCGGGTTCGATCCCTGGGTCGGGAAGATCCCCTGGAGAAGGAAATGGCAACCCACTCCGGTATTCTTACCTGGAAAGTCCCATGGCCTGAGGAGCCTGGTGGGCTACAGTCTATGGTGTTGCAAAGAGTTGGACACAACTGAGCAACTTCACTTTTCACTTTCATACATAAAGTGTTTAGCTTCGGGCCTGGCCTCATAGTAAGTGTTCAATAAGTAATTATTGTTATCAGCAAGTGTGCATTCCCTTCCTGCCAGCATACTAGTTCTGTTACTTTGCTCAGGCTACTTGACCTGTCTGTGCCTGTTTCCTCTCTGTAGCTTAGTAAGAATAGTCCTGATGTCTCAGAGTGGTTGGGATGAGCAAACGAATCCATCCACACAAAGAACTTACTGGCACACAGTAAAAGCTCTATGTGCGTGTGCTAAGTCGCTTCAGCCGTGTCCAACTCTGGGACCCTTTAGACTGTAGCCTGCCAGGCTCCTCTGTCCATGAGGATTCTCCAGGCAAGAATCCTGGAGTGGCTTGGCATGCACCCCCTCCAGGGAGAAGTTCTCTAGGTGTCTGTCGCCTATTGGTGGTTCACACAGGGGCTTTCCTATTCTGTCAGGTGGGCACGGCCCCGGCGCCCCGCCCCAGGCACCATGGACTGGAAGACGCTCCAGGCCCTGCTGAGCGGAGTCAACAAGTACTCCACGGCCTTCGGGCGCATCTGGCTGTCGGTGGTGTTCGTCTTCCGCGTGCTGGTCTACGTGGTGGCCGCGGAGCGCGTGTGGGGGGACGAGCAGAAGGACTTTGACTGCAACACCAAGCAGCCGGGCTGCACCAACGTCTGCTACGATGAGTTCTTCCCCATCTCCAACATCCGCCTCTGGGCCCTGCAGCTCATCTTCGTCACGTGCCCGTCGCTGCTGGTCATCCTGCACGTGGCCTACCGCGAGGAGCGCGAGCGGCGGCACCGGCAGAAGCACGGCGACCAGTGCACCAAGCTCTACGACAACACGGGCAAGAAGCACGGCGGCCTCTGGTGGACCTACCTGCTGAGCCTCGTCTTCAAGCTCCTCATCGAATTTCTCTTCCTCTACTTGCTGCACACACTCTGGTACGGCTTCGGCATGCCCCGCCTGGTGCAGTGCGCCAACGTGGCGCCCTGCCCCAACACCGTGGACTGCTACATCGCCCGGCCCACCGAGAAGAAGCTCTTCACCTACTTCATGGTGGGCGCCTCCGCCGCCTGCATCGTGCTCACCTTCTGCGAGATCTGCTACCTCATCTTCCACAGGGTCGTGCGAAGCCTTCACAGGAAGAGCCAGCGCGGGGGCCGCGGCCACGCCGCCTCCGCCAGCCGGGCCTCCACCTGCCGCTGCCACCACAAGCTGCTGGAGGCCGGGGACCTGAGCCCGGACTCCCGCGACAACAAGCTGTGTGCTTCGGCACCCACCATGACCCCCATCTGACCACGGGGCCAGGGGGGCCATCCTGGGGCTGCCCGTGGGGACAGCAGCAGGGTCCTATGGTGCCGGTGGAGGGGTCCTACGGGTGCTGGGTGCCCCCGCTCTGAATTCACTACACTATGCAGTTCCATTTTTAGCAGATTTTTTCTTTTGAACGCTGGACACTGTGCCATCTATCTGGTATAGGTCACACCGCAGGCCCTCCTGGGAGACAGACGTTGAAACAAGCCGGTTAACTGCTGCCTACAAGGTGACACTTGGCAGGGCTTCCCCTAACCCAGGAAGGAGTGATCAGGAGAGGCTTCCCCGAGGGAGGAATATTTAAGGGAGGTAAGATGAGCTTCTTAGCAGGGGAAAGCAAGTGCAGATGCCCAGAGGCCATAAAAAGATGCTTGCCTTGGGTTGGATGCACCAGGCCAAAGGGCATCTTCCTTGCGGAGCGGCACCCAGATTTCTGGGGTGGAAAGGGAAGTATCCACCCAGTGGTGGAGGGCTGGAGGCTGAGAGTGAGCCTGGGAAGAGGAGGAGGCAGCTCTGGTGACACCCAGAGGCCCTCTGGGCCGCCACTGCCCTCCAGGAAGCCCCATGCCCCTGGTCATTCCTCCAGCTTCAGGCAGCCTTGCTCCCATCTTCCTTCCACACCGTGCTCAATCTGGTGCCAGCCTCTCAGGGACTTGAGGTGGATGTACTGATAGGAACATCCCCAAGGAATTTTTCTTGAAATGAATAAAGGCTGTGTTTTATACAGGTCGACTATCCTCTTTTCGCCCACGCTCCCACCCACTTCCCTGGTGGTTCAGACAGTGAAGAATCTGCCTGCAATGCAGGAGATCAGGGTTTGGTCCCTGCGTCAGGAAGACACCCTGGAGAAGGAAATGGCAACCCACTCCAGTATTCTTGCCTGGAAAATTCCATGGGCGGAGGAGCCTGGCAGGCCACAGTCCATGGGTCGCAAAGAGTTAGACATGACCGAGTGACTAACACTTTCTGGGATCATATCTCCAGCCCAAATCTTCCACCAAATGCCACCAAGCAGCTCTATTTGCATGACCCCAGGCACAGCAAGCTCAACACACCCTAAACCCAACTAAACCCATCCCACCCACAAGACCTTGAGGGCAGAGAAGGCAGCCCTCAGAAGGGGACAGAGCTCCAGGCTGGGGCTGGGTTGACCCAAGTGCGAATGGAACCTACAGATATATATGCTGCGATTGCCCATGTGGTCACAAGAGGGCGCTGTGCTCCCTCTATAACTGGACCGCTACTTTACAGCCAGACCCTGCCCTGAGCACACACAATCACAGCCCTCTGGTTGTAAAGACAAACCACACGGCCCTCCTCCTTTGTAACCTGATCATTGTCATCCACCACGGGCAGCCCCACCCTATGTACACAAAATCCCTGTTACTCATACTTTTCACTCCTGTGTGCTCACTCCAGGTTTCTCCAACAGCATGCAGCCCAGCCTCACCCAAGTACTGTCCAGCTCCTTCCGTTGCCCTGAGCATTTTCTCCATCCCAGCCTCTCCGGCAGACACGAGGACTGTGCAGGGGAGTAGGATCTGAGCCCAAGGAGCTCAGAGTCTGGGGGAGACAGAGATGCACTCATCCCCTGCACTAACCAAGCCCAGGTGGTTCCCAGTCCTACTCCCAGCACCATGTGCTGACCTGAAATTTAGGGAACACCCAACATCCAAGCCAGGTCAAGATGGAAAGCAAAGGGGGGTAACAAGGTTATACTAACTCAGAGGAACATTTAGTAACTATCAAAGCCAAGGCCGGGAGGCAGTGAGCCAAGAGCTAATGCAGGCGGGGAAAGGGACCCGTGGTTGTGTCGACAGAACAGGCTGGGGTTCACCTTTGCTCTCCTGTGTGGCCATTACCCAGGTGGATGAGCTAGCCAAGTGTAAAGGGCCCAGGGCTGGGCTGACACCCACCTCCCAGGTTGAATCATAGCTTAACCACTTCAGGACCACAGCTTCACCATATTGCACCTCGAGCAGGCTTTCAGAACCTCAGTCTTATCATCAATACAATGGGAATTGTATCAGTCAGTTAGGGTCTCAAAGAAATAAGATGGCACATTCAGACCAAGGAACTGCAAAGAGTTTTCCTTGAGGGACCATTTTTGAAGGTATGGGCCCTGTGTGTGTGTGTGTGTGTGTGTGTGTGAGTGTTAGTTGCTCAGTAGTAGCTGACTTTTTGTGATCCTACGGACTATAGCCTGCCAGGCACCTCTGTCCATGGGATTCTTCAGGCAAGAATACTGGAGTGGGTTGCCATGCCCTCCTCCAGAGGATCTTCCCAACTCAGGGATCGAACCCACGTCTCCTGTGTCTCTGCATTGGCAGGCGGATTCTTTGCCACTAGCACCACCTGGGAAGCCCCAAAGGTATGGGCATGATTAAGGAAACCCACAAAGGGAACTCTGGGGCTAGTCCCAGGGTAGCAATGGATGGGGGTGCTACACAGGAGCTGCAAGGACGCATAGAAGCACAGCAATCAAATACCATGGCTTCACTCTCCCATCTCCTGCCCACCCAACCAGTGCTCCCCCTGAACCAACACAACCAGAAACAAGGGCAAGGAAGCCTATTGAGGCAGTGCAGCTCAGGCTCCCAGGGCACAGAGCAGATCTGAGGGGCAAAAGGAACATATTCAGCCTGGTCTCAGAATAGTATCCACTCCTAGGATTATTGTAGAGATAAAAAGAGACAGTGTCAGTAAAACATTAGTTCAGTGTTAACATATCCAGTAAATATCCAAGCACACCCCTGCTTAGGAAAGTCTGCCTGCCACCTAGGCCATCTCCTGTGTCAATCCCAGCTTAGACTGGATGGTTGCAAAGGTCCCAGGGAGGGGTGATCTCCACCTATTTACTGCCTTGCATTCCAGCACCTTCCAGGGCCTGGTTAAGGGTGTCTTGGAGGTCAGAGCAACCAGAGAACACCACCAGTTATTCCAGCATGGACTGAGCCTCCAGTCCCGGCCCCGCTTCTCCAGGCTTCAGGCCAAGACCACAGATGAGGGAATATTCCAGCCCTGACCATCCCACCTTTGGCCTGAGAGACGACCCCAGCAGTGCCATTCACATTTTCCATCCGTGTGTTGAATTACCATTCACAATCCAGAGCCCAGCACACACCACCATCACAAGGTGACTCTCAAGTCTCCTGGCCTTCTCTTCTGAGGGTTCAGTTCAGTTCAGTCACTCAGTCATGTCTGACACTTTGCGGCCCCATGGACTGCAGCATGCCAGGCTTCCCTGTCCATCACCAACTCCTGAAGCTTACTCAAACTCATGTCCATCAATTCAGTGATGCCATCCAACCATCTCATCCTCTGTCATCCCCTTCTCCTCCCACCTCAATCTTTCCCAGCATCAGGGTCTTTTCCAATGAGTCAGTTCTTCCCATCAGGTGGCTAGGGTATTGGAGTTTCAGCTTCAGAGTCAGTCCTTCCAATGAACACCCAGGACTGATCTCCTTTAGAATGGACTGGTTGGATCTCCTTGCAGTCCAAGGGACTCTCAAGAGTCTTCTCTAACACCACAGTTCAAAAACATCAATTCTTCTGTGCTCAGCTTTCTTTATGGTCCAACTCTCACATCCATACATGACTACTGGAAAATCCATAGCTTTGACTAGACGGACCTTTGTTGGCAAAGTAATATCTCTGCTTTTTAATATGCTGTCTAGGTTGGTCATAACTTTTCTTCCAAGGAGCAAGTGTCTTTTAATTTCATGGCTGTGGTGACCATCTGCAGTGATTTTGGACCCCAAGAAAATAAAGTCTGTCACTGTTTCCCCATCTATTTGTCATGAAGTGATGGGACCAGACGCGATCTTAGTTTTCTGAATGTTGAGTTTTAAGCCAACTTTTTCACTCTCTCCTCTTTCACTTTCATTAAGAGTTTCTTTAGTTCTTCTTCGTTTTCTGCTGTAATGGTGGTGTCATCTGCATATCTGAGGTTATTAATATTTCTCCTGGCAAACTTGATTCCAGCTTGTGCTTCATCCAGCCCAGCATTTCACATGTACTCTGCATATAAGTTAAATAAGCAGGGTGACAATATACAGTTTTGATGTACTCCTTTCCTGATTTGGAACCAGTCTGTTGTTCCATGTCCAGTTCTAACTGTTGCTTCCTGACCGGCATATAGATTTCTCAGAAAGCAGGTCAGGTGATCTGGTATTCCGATCTCTTGAAGAATTTTCCACAGTTTGTTGTGATCCACACAGTCACTCTTGCATAGTCAATAAAGCAGAAATAGATGTTTTTCTGGTATTCTCTTGCTTTTTTGATGATCCAATGGATGTTGGCAATTTGATCTCTGATTCCTCTGCCTTTTCTAAATCCAGCTTGAACATCTGGAAGTTCATGGTTCATGTACTGTTGAAGCCTGGCTTGGAGAACTTTGAGCATTACTTAGCTAGCATGTGAGATGAGTGCAATTATGCAGTAGTTTGTGCGTTCTTTGGCACTGCCTTTCTTTGGGATTGGAATGAAAGCTGACCTTTTCCAGTCCTGTGGCCACTGCTGAATTGTTCAAATTTGCTGGCATACTGAGTGCAGCACTTTAACCACATCATCTTTTAGGATTTGAAATAGGTCAACTGGAATTCCATCACTTCTACTAGCTTTGTTCCTAGTGATGCTTCCTAAGGCCCACTTGACTTCACACTCCAGGATGTCTGGCTCTAGGTGAGTGATCACACCATCGTGATTGTCTGGGTCATGAAGATCTTTTTGTATGGTTCTTCTGTGTATTCTTGCCACCTCTTCTTAATATCTTCTGCTTCTGTTAGGTCCATACCATTTCTGTCCTTTATTGAGCCCATCTTTGCATGAAATCTTCCTTTGGTATCTCTAATTTTCTTGAAGAGATCTCTAGTCTTTCCCATTCTATTCTTTTCCTCTATTTCTTCCGAGGGTACACACCTCTATGTCCTCTTCCCCCACCAGGTAGATTCACTGCAAGCTTCCTTCAATAGTGCTTTTGT